TAATGCGCCGGCGGTCACGGTCAACCGTTGGGCGATCGGAGTGTGCGTATTTCAGGGCTCACATTTTCTAACACGTCGTTCCTCAGAGGAAGGCCGCATCGCTGCTTCCATAAATATGGACATGCTGGTCGCCTGGGGGAAACACCTTACTGCCTTCACACTCCTGTCGCAGAGGACAGTACGACTTTACCCCCAGACCGCCTCGTAGCACGATTACTCGTAGTACGGGGTCTCGCTGCTCTTGGTCTGGCTGCTCCCCTTTGGCCTTCCTGGCATGGTTGCACCTTGTGGAACGAAGTTCCAGCCAGTGTAGCCCGCGGGATCATTGCAGCACTCAAGCTCGTCCACCACGTCAAGGTGGCAGCTTTAGGTCGGAAATGTGCTATCATTCGTGTTAATAGATACGTCACACTCCGACAGAATCTCATTTAAACAAAAAATTATTGAAACGCGGACCGCTCAAGTGTGAACACTGTAACGCAGTTGAAACTCGACTGTATCTATCATATGACCTTATGTGTGCCTCTCCCTCTCTCTCTTCCCCTATTGCAGGTTCCACGGACGAGCCATCACGATCCCTGGACAGGAAAGAGTAGCCCGCTTGTACACCCCCCTGATTGACCTTAACCTACCTTTGTACCCCCGACTTCCAGTTTCGGTTTCTATGGTATACACGAGTGTTGTTGTCATGCTCTGGTCTTCTCTCCTGTCACCCGACCTGTGCGAATGTGTCCCGTGTGGATTCAGTAATACTAATCTCTATATCTGCACATTTCAGAACCAACGTGTGCCGTCGCCACATCCTCTCGAACGTCGAAGACCGCTGACTTCCTGACGTCCCACGCTACAATACGTTCACCTGTTCAGATGTGAAAATTCAGATACATCCAGGGTGCGTTGGTGGAGTAGTGGGTATACGCTCGCCTCGCATGTCAGATGTCCGGGGTTCAAATCCCGGCACGGCCATTGGATATGCACTGCTGATGAGCTCTAATAGGTGCGAAACTCGAGTCCAGTGCTTCCCTTTGGTGCGGACTCACCGCAACACTTGCGCAAGGACAGGAAGACGACCGTTCAGACGAGAGTGGTGTGCCTGTAGGCATTTTGTATAGGTTGTCATTAGTTGTTCATTCAGAGGAGTAAATTGGCTTGCTAGTACACATACTGAAGTCGACCTTCACAGGTGTCCTGGCCTTCCAAATCCATCCGCAATGCCTTTTTCCTAGTCATCGATTGATAAGTGAATATAACATTAGTCAAGTTCCTGTAACCTCGGCTCAACAATTCAAATTTTAACGCAGCACCTTGATGAATCTTACGAATCGCTTGGTGTGACTAATTCTAGTTTAGCCTTTTCCTCGGAATCTTGGAGAAACCTGAAAAGCATTTGACCCACTTGTTCAAATTCTACAGGAATTTGCAAAAATGAATGTATTATCAAAGCATTGAGAAGATGTTCATTAAAGTCCATGGTGGTTGGAAATTGAGGAATTTAGTGAAAGAGGACAAAGACTGTAAAGAGAACGAATAAAACAGAAAGAAGAGACACCAGGGCTCCTTGTGAGCCACGAATTGCTGAGTTGCAGAAATCTTCATAGCAGCAGGTCTTTTCGTCTTTAACCGTCAGTTTCTCTCCCAATATCTTGGACACCGTGTCGGCAGCGTTGGCCAGATCACTACCTGTCGAACTTTCCCCGCACGTTTCCTCACATTGAAGCATTTTACACGTTCCGCCATTTATGTGCGTCAATTTCTTCTGTTGATGGTGACAAAATCAAAACAATTATACAATTAGCACCAATAAATCCCAACTATTTAACTAAATAAGCATATTGGCACGGTCCACTATCGATGAATCTTTGTTCGCCGTTGAGTCACATCGCCTCTCTTCCCTCGAAGAATTCCGTAAGTGACACTTCTGTAACACGACTTATTGCATCATCGCTGTAGGTGCTGCACTCTGTTCGCCAAAATTTCGGTTCCTCCGTAACACTGGCCGTTTTACTACACTTCGGCGCGACAAAATTAGCAGCAACAAGATCCCTTATCGACCATGTTCTTCTCTTGTTACGTCTTAGATCAACGAGTGTACTTAGGCGCATGGTGAAACCTTCTCTGAGTTATTTTGAACTTTTTTTCTGTCATATGGCGATGGCGCTTGTATTTGCCTTGTTCTGTCTTAAAGTGAAATCGCTACCTAACACAACTGACAAGGTTGCTGAAGATACATTGAGAGACCATGCCCGGTTTCGTATTTCTTAAAGCTGATCAGGTGGGTGTGGTTCTTGGGCTTCCATTTACTCCATGTCATACTTCGACCCTGAATTTTACTTAAGTGGAGCATTGTTTTAACGGAGACTTAGGTAACTGGTGGCTTAATATATATTATTCCTAATAATTTTCAAATGAATATGTTTCACAAAGACGGTCTCGTGTTTTATTTGGAAGGGGTATTCAATTTGTCGAGGTGGTGACCGATCAGGAGGTCGTTGGTGAGTAGGCAATAATAGTCCGAACCTTTGCCTGGTTGATTCACAGCCGATCTGGGTAGCAGCCTCCACAGCATTCGTTTTGACTTTATGCTAATCCAATAATAAACGAATCGATCTCACCTAACTCCGTAGTACCAATGAGTTTTAATACATTGAAATAACACAGTAAAAAAAATTGCTTACCGAGCATGCTCCACAGCCTTCCCGTTTAAAAATATTGAGGTCAAAACCCTCAACTGCACAGCCAATTGACTGGTAACAGGAGATGCCGCTTCCTGTAAAGAGGAGGTGATGGACCGGAACATATATATCAAAACATCATCAGGATGGATCACTTTATGATAAATACAACAAACAAATGCTTAGGTCTCGTTGAGTTCCATTCAAATGGTGCAGAGCGAAGTTCGTTTTACCCAAAACTATTGCACACACACACCCTGGACCGAGCAGCATTCGAGGTCATTAGAATGCCAGTAGAGAGGCGAAATAAATTCCTTTGCTGGGGTGTGTGGTACATCTGATAACAGACTGTGGAACTTGAACAAAAGCCGGCCGAAAGCCCATATGATAACAAGTCACGGGAATCTCACTCTGCTCTTGTAAGGAACCTCCATCTGAGGAATACCCCGAAGAAAAAACGTTATTAACATTTCCTCATATTCTGCACTGATAATGTAGAGCTCCTATGTAGAAAGATACCAATTTTGGGAAAAAAGTTGAAGCCCGAACGTTTCCATGAAAGGAATCCTGTTTTTAAGTAAAATTCACCAGTAAGCAAACAAAGATCACCTCACTGTGACCTGTGAACAGAGACGTAAAGTGAAATTGGTTAATTGTGAAGTCACGAAAAGTGTCGTTTAGACGATTTTCTTACCAAATTAGTAACCACGTTGTTTTGAGTAGTCGGCCCACGGATACATTGACTTCACATAATCCTGTCATCGGTGAATGGGGGTCTTCTCACTAGTTGTTACAGGCACTGCTTCAGCATCAGTCGGCTGAACGGTAGTGCCGTCGCGCAGTTCTCAGTAAGTAGGTTCATTACTTTCTGGTCCCTGTGACACATACTGATAAAAAACCCTAAATATTAAAAAAATACACTAATATGCACACAAATTTGGTTTGGAAAGGAGGCTCAGCTGAATCTATCGCTTATGATGATCTTGTCTAAAACCTAATGAAGTTTGAGACAGCGTTGCCCGCTTCAGATTCATCAGTCACCAAACGTGTGTAATATATTCATCGAAATCAAGAGCAACCGTTCCTCCGGCTGGGATCACTTTGAGATCTACATTTTTCAAACGTGCTTTCCAGCTCTTTACATTCACTTACACCCTTACTCCCTCCAGCACATCTCACCGATTCAATAATCATTCTGTTAAAGAACATAAGACAAGCTTGTCGGTTAATCAGTATATGCCCTCCTCAAAAACATCAATATGACACAACTCCCCAAGGCAAAACGTGCAGCGCTGAACTCTCGCGTTTTTTCTGCCCTGTCAAAACAGACGAACAGCCCAGATGAGGCTCACCGGTTTGAGATGAAACGGACCGGACTGAGCGAGATTTTCTGTTCAACCTGAAGCCCATCTTCACGGCTTTTATTGCAATCTTTGCAATGCCCTATCTTTTTAGGAATTCAGACCCGCTCGGCTGCAGCTTCACGAAGAGTAAACACGTAGAAAGCTCCAGTTGCGTAAACGAAATTTCGGGAGTGATTTTAATAAACCCCATCCCTGACAATTTCGAGGGTACTGACGGTAAACTACGAGGTAATTCAAAAGGTGTTGGCCAATATCTCTCGTTGAGACGCTTTAAGGTGGACAGTTGTCACCATGCATCCCTCTTGGGTTGAGTAGCTGTCGAACTGCGTTGGTTTATTTCAGCTTTCTGAAAAAAAGCAGGAATCTATCAGCTGTCGTTTTGCTACGATGCAGCCACTTCAATCCTTTGTGGGTCCAGTACTTCTGGCAGACTCTGATCATTTTGTTCATAAGTTGTTAACATGGCTACGTTAAGCCGCCTTCGTACTCATCAACCATTTCATCATACGAATTTAACCAATGGAAACCGCTTGTTAACAATTAAATCCAGTTGTTGTATTTTTCAAGTATGTATGGAATAAAACTCGATAAATGCTTTTGGTTACCGATGTTACTTGGGCCACTCTGTCATGCTTGTAACTCAGAATCGATGATAACTTACCATTTGCCGTCAACGTTGTGGACAACACAACAGTGATAAGAGCAACGAGCTTGCAACGCATACTGATGGTGTGCAATGTTTGAGTGGGTGACTGTGGAATTTGTTCTGTTTTTATCCTGTCCTGATGCTTATTTGGGGCTTATCAGTTCAGTCAACCAGAAAGTATGTGATTGGTGCAAGAAAATGTGATCTATGGAGGGGAACAAGGCTAGTTATGACCATCAGCCACACAACAAAGTCTAGCAAGGACATTGTGTTGGAAGCCATGTGACAGCAAAAATTAGCTTACACCACAACTTCTGAGGTTGGTCATAACTTGCGCTTCGATCAATACTCATTGTGCAAATAGGTATATGGCCATATTTAGCAGTTAAAATCCAGCAAGTGCAGGTCGGCTAAGGTTGAAATCCAAGAGCTTGACACCAGTAGTAGCGGTTATTACGCTTCCATCCGCAAAACTCACTTTTTCAGTTTAAATACAAATGTCGCCGAAGCTGAAACGGTGTAGTAATGTGGTAACTCGCTTTCAGAACAGGAGAATTTGTTGAAGGAAGCTACATAAAAAGTTGGTTTTTCCGTACGATATCGTACCAACTGAAACATGAGGCGTCCTTTGTGCAGCAAATTCAGCTGAAGAGATTCTAGTAACGTTATAAATCACATAATGTCAACGGAATAAACCTTCTTCTAAACGTAGAAACAATGACAGGCCAACCGAGTCTCCCACAGCATCATCGATGTTGTACATGTGTTGGTTCGAGTAGTAAAATCAGCAAAGACCAGCAGAAACCAATAAGCCGTGTGAGCACCGTTCACAAATAAATGTTACATTTTGTGTTTCGAAAAGTAGTGTGGATAAATTGGTCAGAATTCACCTACTCCACTCTATTCGGGGCTTTTAGGACAAGCGTAAGCTTCGATGGTCAACTAAGGAGAAGAGTGCGGAACAGCGTTCACGTGGTTAGCACTAGACAGAGGGAAGCTGGCACCAAGCTATAGGGAATTTCCAGTATCAGTCTTATATTGCCACTAATAAACAGGAAGGACTTCATTATCAAATCCACGCAACGCGAAAATATCTTAACCAACAGGCAAACTTGTAGTGAGTATAAATGCGAGCATAAAAATGTTGCTTATTGTCCTTCGGAACTAATATTTTTACCGTCCAGCTAACCGAAGCAACACCTCATCGCACCTTCCAGTGAAAGATTAGCTGACGTTTATTGACACTAGGAGCTTCACATGGAAACTCGCCGTAAAAGCCTATAAGAGAAAATTTGTACTCTGAATTGAACACTAATAAGACAGCGTTCTCTCTCAAATATGACTGGTCTTTATGACGGTTTCTATCTTTATTAGATTCCTTTCTGTCTGCTTACTTCGTTCTTAGTTTTTATCGTCGTCTTATCTTCTGGAGTTTTATTGGTGGGTTGCATTTTCACGTTTGATATAGCTTATTCTTTCTTGCGTTGGTTGATTTGGTTGCGTTTAATTGGACAATTTGATGCCTTTCTTTGTTGAATCCGTCTCTATCCTTCTTCGACTTATTGGTTCATAGCTGGTCCAGGAGAGCGGATTAATTCCCTGGGCTTTTATTTGCCTGTTTCCCTTTACTCGTCTCCTCCTCTTTGTCATGCGGCTATGCGTCCTGTAGTTCTTTTGCTCTTAGTAGTTGACAGATTTGATCAGTTTTGATGTGTTTGTTGGTGGCTTCTTCAGTGGCGTACCACGCATTCACAAATTCACCTTCATTTTTGTTCTTGCTCGGGTCAATATGTTGACCTTGCTCCAGTTGAATTTGTGTCCATCTTGGTCTACATGCACGGGGACAAGTGGAAATTGATCGACTTTTGGTTTGTGTTGATGTATTCTACAAGACAGCTTCCTTCTTGTGAGCTCTACGTGGTATTTACGGTAACTGCCATTGTTTTTCGCAGTTTGTCATATCAAATCACCTAATAAAGAGCTGCCTGGGCTCCGGTTTTCGGGGACTTCGTTAGTGTAAGGTATGCAAACTAGCATTCACCTTGGAACATTGGGTTACGAAACCTGGTTGGCACTTATAGTCTTGTAATACCTAGTTGGCTGTATCTATTGATCAGTCAAGAAAGCATAAAGAGGCGCGCGGGACTCCAACAAGTGCGTCCTTTGGACATTTAGACACATACTTGTACCGCAGGATACACGGAAACAGGGATCCAAGTGCTTTATTTTATGACGAAAATTGGTCTGACCGTCAGCGACCTCTAACCACTGCATTTCGGCCAGCTAGACGAGGTAACGTGATCTTGGTCAGTTTTATCGTCTTCTGTTGACCTGCACGAGTTCGAATAACAGAATATAATATAACGTGCTGTTGCTGGTAAAGGTCATTCTGTCCCAATTCCGAGCACCTTATACCAAGACAGCAGTTCACAGTTCGAAACAGGGGACTCAAGCTCTCCGGGAAATTTTCCGTTTGGCAACAAAACTAAATAAATTTGCAGAGACCCCAACCATGTCCCTGCGCACTGTCATGAAATCATTGGTCAACCACCATCAAACAGCGGTTCGTTACCAGAAAGCTAGTGCAAACCCGCCTTGGCTCCCTGTGGTTCTGTTCTTTTCCATTATATATCTGTGAACCGTGTACACGAGGACGACCGTTCTGGTCACCGCAGTCTAGGACCACCGAAGGGTAAAGATTAAAACTGAAGTTTCGAAGACAAACTGAAGGAAGTGGATTTAGGGAGTGAAGGATGTTGATAAGTACGACCGGTTTTGTAATTACGTCAGGTCCTCGGGAGTCTCCAACCAATAGTTGAATGAGCCTTCGGCGGTCACCATGAAAGATGGCTTGCATCACTGTGAGTAAGATCATGAATGAAACTGATATATCTGACTACTGTTCCTACTCCAGTGCCTGGTGCCAGAAAAGAACTCACCTACAAAGAACGCAACAGTTTTATTGCAACAAGCGAGTGCGTGGTAGTGCAAAAGTTACAACGGCCCAGCGCTATTTAAAAGGCACTTTCAGACCCCGATCCAGGTTGTCTGATAGGCGTTTAGCGAACACCCATCAACGTCGATCCGGCTTCTATGAAACGCCGGAATGCTGATCACATTCGGTCGTGTTTCTGTGGCGTGCCTGAACACTAATCGTCTTTTGTTGAATTGATTGAATAACTGGCCTGGAGGCATGTCGACATTTCTATTGGGATTTTAGAAAAGTTTTAGGTTATCAGTAGGTTCCGGACATTCTGGGGTTACTTTCAGGAATCTGAACTTCCTGACAGATACCTTAAGGACCTCCTGCCTCATTTCTGCTGACCTACCTTCTGACCTCTTCCAATCCAATCTTGATATTGTAAATAGTGTCCAATCAGGCAAACGGTCTTCGGGGAGCGCAATTGGTGTGAGCGTATCAAACTTTCAACCGAGCGTCCACCAACCTCCATGCCAAACTACCATTGTGTTTCCTCTACTGTCGTTCACTTGAAAACATTCGAATTCCAAAGGATTCTGCCCACTGAAATTGCGACCAATATCAAATCGGTGCGCACGGAACTGATGAAAGCATGTTGCTTGCTGAAGAACTGTCCGAACTAAAAACGGGATCCGTATCAACGTTTCGCATACGATGCACAATATTGAGTTGAAAACATGTACGCACTTAAAGTGCTAGCAAATAGGTTAACGTTTAAGTTATGCTGTTGGGAATTGTGCCTACCTAGACAGCGACTTGGAGGCCAGTTGTGTAGCTTCTAGTATCTCAGGTTTACGATACCTTGTTTGAATATGAATTGTTGATCGATGAGCTTTGTCTGCGTCCGGCCAATAGGACCCATAATGCCCATATGCGAAAAGAATTCGTTCACCTGATACGTTGATTAACCATACAAAAACGCCATTGAAACACCTAATCTTACTGCGAACTCACACTTAACGCACCTCATCCTACAAATTGTTAAAATGGACTATGACCTTTTCCTAACCTCTGTTAAACTACATCTTCCATATGTCTGTTTCCGAAACTCGAAGGAGAAGTTATACCTCACTGATATGGTGTTTCGTTTCGATATGTGTACGCTTCTATCCTCACATGGTGTATCATCATCCTCTTAGATGGAGTCGGTCCCACATTTTATGGGAGCGCTTGGTGTTGCAGCAGATATGTGCACGTTAGACCAACTAGGAATATCAACTGGGCCCCAACAACAGCAGGTGTTGATCAATCTGTCGAAAGGAATAACGGATAAAATAATTTTAATGATGGGATATCTGTTCAAACAATCAGCTTAAGTCTGACATCAGAAGATGTAATAATATGGTTTGTATCTGGTCCGAAATTCAGTGGTGTAAACCTTGCAACTCAGATGTAAACTGGCCGGCTGGGTAACAGGGTGAAAGGTGCTCCAATGTTGTCTGAAAACCAGTGCAGAATGTCTATAGACTTCCCGAGTTATCCCACTGAGTGGTTGCAACCAATGCCGATTGACAGACCTTCCCATTTATAGCTCCTCATTGATCCCGTAGTGTATGGTGCCTGGTGTTAGGATGCTAAGACGTTTTCCTTGTACTGCTTCTGAATCCCTAACCTGTTTTATGGGGTGCTTCATATGAAAAACAGTTAATCGTAAACGCTTCATCTCCGTCATCTTCCCTGTCACTGCACAAAAGCCGCCACAAGCTTAGAGATATGTCCTCTTGTCATTGGCCTTATTGCCTTGACAACTGTGTAAGACGGTGAGCAGCCTCACTGTCACTGTTATCGGATGCCCCACACATCAACACTACCAGTATTCCTTAGCCCAGTGTCAGATAGGTCCGCGTCACATTGGATGCCGGACGCTGTGCAGTGGCATCAGTCCCAACTGGGACTGTGGCTGCGTCAGCTTTTTTGGGACACAAGCGCACCCACCATTCCATTTGTTCCGCCCACATGATTCCAGGCCTGAACGTAGCAGCCATGCTATGTAGGGAAATCTCCCTATACCTCGATCCACCTG